TATATATATATATATATATAATGATGACAGAGAAGTTTACAAAAAAGTCTGTCAGAGTTTTTGCCATCAATATTGCTGTTCATATAATCATGTTTTTGGAATTCTAATAAAAGGTTCAGCTCTATTTATTGTTGTGCTGTTGTTATGGTTATACCTGATATTGGCCAGCAGAGTCCCAGTTATTACTTTGCCCATAGAAGAATTTATCTCCGTGGAGATTGTTCTGTTCATGTATATGCGCCAAGTTTTTTTCATTCTTTTCCCCTCATCCTTTCATTTAGGTTGCACGTGTTTTTTACTACTTGTGTGTAATCGCACTACAGTATGTGGCACCCCTGGTGATGCTGCTGCATACAACATTACTGCTAAAAACATTAGGTAAGTCCAGCACAGCAAAGGGTTTTCTTTTTGCCTTTGTTTCCTTTGGCCCAAAAACGAAGGAGAAAAAAAATCCTTTTATTTTCTTGCTTTCATGCAGGAGGGCACTCGTGGTGGGTCTACCCTGAAGAAAATCTGCCCTGCACCCACAATATGAACTCTGACTTTATAATGCAAGCAGCAGGAGCAGTAGCTCCGGCAGCAGCTTCAGCTGTAGAAACAGGGGCTGGAGCGTCAGTAGCACAGCTCTCTGTGGCCCTGAGGGGCCTGCGGACTGTTTTTAGCCCTTCACTTTTCAGGGGTCTGTTCTCCTTCTTTACTTGGTGGATTGCCGCCTGCCTCTTCTCCACCTCCCTCTATGGTCTCTTCTACCATCAGTATCTCATGGCAGCATAGCATCGGCACACCAGCAGCGACAGACTGCACCACAGTCACTGTATGTCCAGCCTGGTCAGAAAAGAGGAAGGAAGGTTCAGGCGGGTTGGTACGGTGCAATGTGATTTGGGTGGCGACTGCTGCCCCTGCGACCCGGTAACGGATAAGCGGATGAAAATGGATGGATGGCTGGATGAATATGAGGAAAAGTCGGCACAAGTCGTGCAGTACAGGAACATGCACACGCACACATACTCACGCACAGACCCGGTGGTCACCTAGACCCGAAGGACTGCACAAGGGTTAATGGGAACTAATCTGTTAGTTGTGTTGATTTTTAACTTTGATTTGATAATTCTGTCACACCCAGACTAATTTGTCCCTAATGACTCTCTTATTGTTGATTTGTTTGGGTTTTTTTTAATGTGTCGTGGCCTGTAAACATTTCTAATTTTCAACCACTTCCTTTACAACTGTAAATATAAAATCACTAAAAATATAAATCACTTTATTTGTGCATATTGGTTTAATCGGGTTTGACAAATCAACAACCTCTATTTTAAACATTAACAATGAGAGCCGTGAGCTGGGAACTTCCCAGAATTCAGATGAAGCTTCTCTCGTTTGTTACCACTGAAAGTGTTTTATCATTTGTTATTGGCTTCACCGAGGGCATCACACATTGTTGTTCTTACATGTATTCATTTCTGCTCTGGTCTTAAATAAATTACGTTCTTTAAAAATGTCCTTTTTATTTTGTCCTAAGCTCTGTTTGTGTGTTTTTTAATGTAGCCTTGCTTTTGAAGATCTGAGTTTCTTCTCATTTTATTCTTCTTCATTCCTTTCACTCAGAAGATTCCTGGGTCCTTGTCATTTTCTTCACAAGACCATGGATTATTTTTACCCACCAGTAAGAGTTCCTCACACTTCATAGACCATGGCGGAATAATAGCTCGGGGACAAAACCTCTGCTAATGGTGCAGGAAACCAGGGTTTAAATCCTGGCCTTCGAAGACAATGTTGATATTCTGTAAGATATTCCAAAGGACTTGGAGTTGTTTCAGCACCAGTGCAAGTTCCTCACAAATTGTTCTCCATGGAAATTTAGCTCAGGTGCAAAACCTCTGACAATGGAGCAGCAGACCTAGGTTCACCACTGAGAGATCAAACCTTCATCAAGACAAATGTGACTAAAGTGCAATAAAGCCACAGGGATTTAGCACAAAAGTGTGTTTGTGTGTCTTTTTCCTTTTTTGTGGAGATTTTTTTTTCTTTCTTCCTCAGTTTTGTTTCTCATATAAATCTATCTAACATCCTGGAAACATCACTCCAGTTCTTGACCCCTAAAATTGTATTGGCTTCACATTTGATGACTTCAGCAAATTTTTTATGTAGTGAAAAATACTTTTCAAGTCATGACAAATGTCCTGAATAAGGTCACCGGGTCTGTGAATGGTGAATTTAACCATCCTTATCTTGATATTAGGATTTTTTTTTAAATACCCAAAATTACATTTACTGAGCCATTAATCAGCAATCAGTGATAAAAACGTGACTCTGAGAATACTTCCCTTGTTCCCCTATGTATTTGTTCAAACGTGGCCATGCTCACATTCATGACTTCTGTAGTACTGTTCATATGACAGGCACTGAGTCCACACAGAAGTGTCTTAGTGAGCAACTGTATTCTGCACAAAACGACGAGTTTTTCCTGTAACTGTTTGTCTGCATTAACTGCCGCTCCTTTTAACTCCTCAAGGAATAGATTGGGGGGATGAAATTACAAATGGTCCCCGGCTCCTTCTTAATGCCCGTGGTTCTCACCGGGGCCAGTTAATGCAGGCTTTGAGTGACATTGTTCTCATTAGCTGGAAAACAGGGCCAATGCATTCATTGGTAGGTAGACAGATCAATAAGACAGCTTCCAAAACAAACCACTGAAGAGCTCCCTTTATTCCCCTCGAGTGCTCCATTCACCCAGGTCCCTTCTCCATAGAACGACGTGGAGTGGAGACCCCCACCTCACACCCAACACTCACCCACTACTCCCCCCAGGGCGCACTACACACACTTACTCAAACACTCACACAGACATGGTCATCAGCAGAAGAAGTGAGGAGGAGGTTGCAGGATAATTGCCAGCTTTCTCTCTGACAGATCAGCGATCCAGGAGCGACAACCACAACCACACACCAACCTGACCTCGCTTTGTGAATGACCTGGAAGAGAAAAGAGAACACTTTACTCTGCTTGAACACCTCTGACCTGTTTTTACACTTTCTATGCAATCACATCTCCAATTATGACAAAGAGAAAGAGAGCACCAGTTGACTAACATCAGCGCGTAGCAATCAGCTTCAACATAACACATGCAATTATTTGCTTTTCATTATCATGACAACTGCACGCATTTTCAGAAGATGCTGTGAGCAAAATGTAAATTGAACAGAAATATAATAATAGAGGCAGAATTAGAACTGGGAACGCCGTCACTGAGAGTTCAGAGTTGCTATTATCCAGTGGTTCTGGAATGATCAGGCCTTGAGACCCTCATTTTTCCTGATCATGCAACATTATGTTCCAACAAATGTCAAAATGGAACACATTTACGCACCAAAAATACAAAATTAAAAAAAAAAAAAGGTTTGGCTAGGTTTTAAGTAATAACTGGAAATGAATCAAAGCTATTCATTTATTAATTCATTCATTCCTTCATACAGTAATCTGTACAATTTTTTATAAGAGATTTCTTTTTTTAAGAAAAAAAGCTTAGGTGTGCTTTATGTTAACATTCATGAAGACTGTCTATAACCTCATGCATAAACCACAAAGAATATTTTTAAAAGAAAAGTTTGACAATTAAAACTGAAAACAACGAGGCCAGAACACTGACAACCTGCTACTTCCCTTTGCTTTTGATAACAAACCACACATTTTGTACCTTCTTTATTCAAACGACAGACATATGTTACCTGTTCCTGTTGCTGTTGCTACAGTCTGAGTGTGATTGTCTTTCAGCACTATCTACCACTGATATTAACACAGTTATCCTCTTTACAGACAGGATACATGTAGACAATGAAGAAAACATCAGCTAATATTTCAACTTTACTTCAGCACAGCACAGAGTTACATTAATGAACATGAAAAACACAGGATGTGCAGAATGTCAGACAAACATTTTATTATTCTGATAAACAAAGACTTGAGCTAAGCTTCATATATAGCTTTATTGTCAATTTTTGTTTTTTACACATATTGTGTTTCACTGTCTTTAACAGCTTCCTTAGCCATTTATCTGTGTCCCACGTGAAATTCTCCATGACCCACATTCAGGCCTACAGTTTCATTAACATTTTATGTAGTTATGAAACAAACTATATAAAAAAATTATAAATAATTTAATTATTTTTAAAAATCATTACATTTGATTAGAACTCAATATTCTTTTATTAAAATTACATTATTACATTATAAACATAACAAAACAATGACTATATGCAGTTTTAATTTCTAATTTTTATTTCATTCCAAACCAGCAGGAGGACAATACTGATGTTTAATAAATCTGTGGATGTAAGTACATTAAAATCTCAAAGTCATGGTCCAAATTTGAGGTCCGCTGCTGTGAAATGGCCGACTGCTCCTGTGGTAATCACTCCTGCTCCAACATTAATTCATCACCAGATGAACATTGTTCCACTGGGGCTCCCTGTGCTTCACTGTTGTAGGGCTTTAATTAGCAGTTTGGTGATAAGACACTATACCACGGCCACAGTGCTGCAGTGTGTGAGAGAGTGTGTGTGTGTATGTATGTGTGAGAGAGAGACAGGGGGAGAGAGCAAGTGTTTGTATTTTTTTTTCTTAAAACTGAATGTATAAATTGAACAAAAACTTTTGACCCATATTTTAATGAAATATGTATATCCCCATCATTATTCCTGATTCTTTTCTGATAATATTTAACACAAATATAATGATAGCATTTATTTCCTTTATCTCAGTCATCATTTGTGTAGCAACAAAAACTACATTAGTGCACATACTTCCCTGTTTATTATACTGATAATCCAGCAGACAGTGATCTGCCTAATCCCTTCATTTGTATCTGCATGCATTTTTATTTTTCTATGCGCGCCAATCGACCCAGAGTTGTGACCTTTCTAATCATGGTATCCACAATAAGATGGTTCTTCAGTTTAACAGGACGTTTAAAATTAATAAGCAAACACTGTTCAACTGTAGACAGCGACGGCTTTTCTCTTTGAATCCTCAACAGACAGAATATTAAGATCACACAGGAACCTAATAGAGTTCTCATGTAATCCACCTGAAGAAATGAATGAATGAATAAATTAATTAGTTATTTTATTTAAAAAAAGAAATGAAACTAAACGAAAGCAGAAGAAAACCTGCCAAAGTCCAATTCCTCTCAATAAAAACCACAGTTGTCAATGGCTCTCTTCCTGAAAACCTGCCAAAGTCCAATTCCTCTCCATATAAACCACAGTTGTCGATGGCTGCCTTCTTGACAATAAGAACCAACAGAGTGGACTGCCCTCTAGTGCCACCGACTGAGTGTGACAGTGCTCAGAGGGGCAAGGGGGACAGGAGCCTGCTTGCTTTGAGCATTAGCAGAATGCCAGCTTTTGCTGATGCCATCCAATCAGGGAGCGGCTCACTAACACATTCAGAGGAGCAGGGTGACAAATGCAAATGCTACAAGATCAAGGTTTCTCCTTGACAGTGGTGCTGCACCTGTTTCTCTGCTTTCATGTCCACAACCATGATGATGATGACGACGATGATAATAAGAGAGAAGGAGGACAGGCCTTGGGTAGAGCGTAAGAGTGAATAAGAGTCAGTGAAATCCTGCCATCACATCATCTGCATCACTCATTCACCCATGATTCTAATGGGTAAAAGAAATGCAGGAAGTGTTCCACTATTTTCATATTTGACGCACTTTGGCCAATGTGGTGCTCAAACTCCAGTCCAAACCCGTACTCCAAGACAATGGGTTAATTAAGCCTAACGTCTGTAGTTCAGTGGATTGAACTTTGTCACGAGAATGAAAGATTTTTTTTTACAAAAATAAATTCTATTAAATAAACATAATAAATGTAATACTCAGACTCTAAAAATGATTGAATCAATGATTGGAGACTAATCTTCAAAGCTTCAAAGCTTAAAAAATCTAAATGTCCTAAATATGACAGGAGCATTCACCAGAGGCAGTCTTTGCAGGAAGTAACAATCATGGCTGTCAATTTAAAAACAATTCTTCTAATTGCAAGAGAGAAAGTCATTTAGTCCTACCACCATCTAATGGTAATTATACTCTTCATTAATTGATGGAGGGGAAGGTCTCCATGCATGAAGACCAAACAATGAATGTGCGTGAACCGAATGTTAAAAATTATACTTGCAAAAATGTGTCCATTAATTTAAAATAATTAAACACGTAATTTATATAAAAAAAGTTTAAAACGTGGTAAATTTTCCTGTGTACCAATTTTTCTGGAGTGTGTTGCAGGTATCACTTCGTGTTTACTTTAAATTGAACAATTGCGTCAGGGTTGCTGCAGCCTTGATAGACGTTTTGTCTCATTGTCCATTAAAATTAAAATTTCAAGATTTTCCTTTATGGATCATTGGTTGTTCGGAACAGCAATTTTAATTAAATATGTCATATAGCAAACAAACACAGTGATATTTAAGAAGTGAAATGAAGTTTATAGGATT